ACCAAGAACAATGCGACGAAATTTCCGAAACGTGTTCCAGGAAGTATTTGAAGCCATTAAAAGGGGGGACTGACGTAGTCAGCGAAATCGAAAGATGAAGAAGTTGAATGTAATATAGGAAAGAAGAAAGGAAATAGCAAAACGTGGTCACGATGAAGCAAAATTAATTCGGCGCAGTCACAGACTGTGTCAGTACCAGACGGACACCCTGAGGGATGGGACAAGCCCCGCCTGTGCGCAGCTGCATTTTTAGTCAAGGACTGTGTCACGGTGTGTTATTTAATACCGCAGTAACTAGTGTGTTCCTGGGAAGTAGCATGATAAATTTAGTCGCCTAAGTGGTATGCAGTGCCAGCCTCGAGTTTTCAGCGCACCCTGCCAGTGACGGTCGGTCCTAGAGACACTGCCTCATGATTAGTGGTCGCTGAAGTAGTGAATTCGAAGGGGGGGTGGTGCCTTTTTGAGTAAGTGTTAGGTAGGGCGCCGTAGTGGAAGTCCCAGGCCCCAAAGCAGTGTATTATTAATAACTTATGTAAGTACTGTAAGCGCTGCACACAACAACGATGTTTGAATTTCAATGTCCGATAAACGATAAACGAGTTTTAATTGGCTGACTACGCTACTGATGTAATAGGATATGTAGAATTATTAGGTAATCTCTACAATTGAGCTCAGGGACATATATTATTGATACTAATCTTAGCATATCCTCACCCAAGCTTCTCGTACTGTGACAACTTGTTAACCCCCATGGTCAACGTAGAACTCTATGAATACAGATCAAATGACTACCGTCTTTCAACGTTAACTTTTACATCAGGGTTGTCGAGGATGCAGGGTCGATCTGCACAAACCGGACCTTGCCAGTCTCCTGTTACGTCTTCAATGTATCGCATTGAAATATTGATTGTTTACTGATGCCCAGTGTAACAACGGATCATTGGATCCTTGATATCTAACAAGCTCAAGCTGCTGTAGACTTTGAAACGTTCTGTTCCGTGATTGATTGGCCGTCGGAAGTTGAATATTTTCTTGCCGATATTTATATTCTTTTCGGCTTAGCGTTCTGCAAACAGCTGTAATAGGGACGAACTTCCGTAACAGGCAAAGTAGAAAACGCTAAGCAGTGCGAGGCACAATTGACTCCAAACCATCATGTCCGGTCCAGGAGAACAACAGCCTCTCCTCACAGTCCCGTATGGTGAGGATGGTGCGCCCACAGAGCCGCCCAAGGGGACTTTAGACGTCTGGCGCGAGAACATTTCGCGCATTTTAGAGTCCCGGCCATTCCATACACTCATTATTACATCGGTGAGCAGCCGCTGTCAAATATTGTCGCTTCTTGTTGACGTGCAGCACTGCTGTAGATTGTGATTGATGCTACTTGTGTCCTCGCTGATCTCGGATTCACCGTTTTGTCCGATTCTTGCACCCCGCTAGATGAGGGCCCTGCATGGCTCGAAGTTCTGGCCACCATATCCCTTGCCATAACCACGCTCTTTCTTATTGAAATACCAGTTGCCCTCTGGACCTTTGGAATCCGCTTCTACAACCCATTCTCAGATGTTCCGCATTCGACTTTGCATCTGTTTGATGCCGCAATTATCATCACGACTTTCATACTCGAATTTGTCCTCAAAGGACGCCAACGCGAATTGGCTGGTCTGCTGATCATTCTTCGTTTGTGGCGGTTAGTAAAGCTTGTTGGAGGTAATTTCAAGTTAGACCCATTTCTCCCGTCTCGTCTCACGACCTTTCCAACAGGCATTGCCGTAGGAGCTGCGGAACTAGGGGAAGAAACTGCAGAGGAACTCGAAGAGACCAAAAGGCAGCTCGAGGGCACCACAATCGCACTCGCAAAGGCTCGCGAGGAAAATCGCAAGTTACGGGGCCGGGTAGCCTGGTTGGAGACGGGCGGATCCGAAGGAGCCGAGTTTTGAGCCGAAGCTGATCTCATAACACATGCTTTCTGTCACCTATCCTTGGAAAGTCACTAGTCCAGACTGAGGTATTCAAAATTTTACAACTGCATTACGACGGTGGATATTTAATACAGCATTGGTGGTGATACCTAAAGTCCGAGTGAAAGCTAAATATGGTACGGGATACAATTGGATATGTTGATTGGGACAAAAAAATGATTTAAGTGCAAGGATGGTGATCAAAAAGGGGACATTAGAGTTCGGCGTGAAAATTGGCCACGCTCGCGGGTATCCACTCAGACAATCGTGGTCGTGGGATGGGCAGATCAGGATCTGCAATCCTCTTCGGAAAAATGGTGGGTGTCGGTGGCGTCAAAGTTGAGCAGGATGTTTTTTACCCAGCTGCAAATCTACAAAAGTCCCAGAATACTTGGAATCATTCGAACCTGACACCTGTCTGGCACAAGCTTTTGGAGGTGGCAGGGGTACCTTTGGAGGGCTGCTGAACGGCGACAAGCGTTGTGTCAAAAAAGGTTGGTCCACACCACGCCGAGTCTGAAGTTCAAGTTGCTTCGCCCAAGCCGGTCGAGTAGAATCGATGGACGGACAATTGCGGGAAAACAGGATAGGCTTCGAGGGTTCGACGACACGTCCTTCGACTCTATGAAGCCTTTCCCAAGTGTCCACAATGTATTTGGAGATGCTGCAAGAACTGCCGCTTTCAGCCCAAGTGGACGATGAGATTTCCGATAATGGGCGTGAGGGAAGAGAGACAGGTATCGAATCAGCGAGGTTGAACCAAGGAACCGCGTTCACAGGCATTTTCCAAAGGGCAGGCAAGAAATGGACATGAGTTGCTGCCATTACGCATAACGTAACACAATACACGAGCACTATTGTCACATCATCAGTACTAATGCTAGCCATGAGTTATGATTAATGATGACATACTGATGGACGTAGCTAACCAGCTGATCGGCGTAAGTAGTGCTGCAGATGCGCAGATAGTCCACGTGGCTAAAAGAACAAAGGAAGTCAGTTACGCAACAAATCACTGATCAACCATATTTACATTGCGATTGACAAAACGCTGGGGAACGAGCAGTCGTGACATAAATGCTGGCAGCTTCAAATTCCAATGATAGTGTGGTTAGAGGAGGCATAGATCTTAGATGCTATTGCCAGCGATAGCTTACCTAGCTGAAGCACGCCCATCAGTACAGTCCAGCCACACTCAAATCTAACATGGGAAGGCCTCGCTTTCGGGCATATAACCTCCGCCGAATATGCTCTAATGAGAAAAGTCAGGGGATTGTGTAAGGTCAACAACACGATACATACAGGATTGTAAAAGCGAATATGAGGGCAGCGTTTACGACAAGGAATGCTGATGCACCAGGCGCTACAAACATGTCAGTCGAGATCATCACCGCCATACTAGACAACACACCTGGCATCCCAGAAGAAGTAGAGGACATGATATTCCACCCTGCAAATATAGTTGCTAGCAAATTGAAATAAAGGATGAGGGCTGCGTCGATGTTATCTGGCTGAATCACATTTACTGATATCGTATACTTACTGAAAAATACGGCTCGGATGATGATGAAGGAATTCTGCATTTCGTTGGCTCTAATGGTGCTGTTGGTCGTGAAAGAAAGAGTGACGGTAGGGAAAGTCGTGCACTGTTGCACAACTGTGAAAGGTGAAAAACGAAGCCAAGCGGGGATTAACAGAATTATGAGTGACACCTCTCTAGGAGCAAATATGGTTCGGTCCACCAGAGACAAAGGGATCGGTCCACGAAGGATCCCATTAAATATCGACCATTGTCAACGTGGCAAGCGACAAGTATCACATTGTAAAAACAATAACTTGAACGCACACAACAATAAGCTAAATGTGCATTGTCCAAATAAGGAAATTACAGTAACAGGCCATCTGCTTAGCACCTGTGACTCCCGCATAAGGACAGTAATAATAGGCGATAACACATAGGGTTCGCACCTGTAAGACGAGGCAAAATCAGTGTGTCAGAGCCTCCTTCTATATTGTTTGAATAAAGAGGAACTTTATACTGCTAGGATGTAGGTAGCACTGTACTACCACTGGCATGTCGGCAATGCTGTGACGTGTTCCCGGCACTGGCTAATAATATCCGAATGTTCGTGCTCGCTGTGTCGTACGATGAGCTCACGTATCTCATGATGATGTGAACGTATTGGAGGCGCGTTTCGATGCATGGCATTCAAGTAAGTATCACATACATACATAAACCCTCTGTGTCCATAAAGTAAGTAAGGCTATGTAATATCATTATTCATCCTCCTCCTCCTCCTCCTCCTCCTCCTCCTCGTCAGATGACTCTACAAATTCAGCACTTTTTGGGGCTTCCCGAAGCCGAGCAGGGGCCTCCTTCGCCCTCTTTGATGATTTTCGATTATTCTTGTTTGATGTGGGCAGAACCTTGCGCTTCCGAGCTACTCCAGCGTCCGAACACTTTTTTCGTGGCTTGTGAACCACCTCCCCAGCTGACCAGCGTGCATCGAGTTCAGCGGTGTGAGCCTTGACTTCCGCTGGTGACAGAGTGGTCCAAGAGCACATTCTAGTCTTGAGTGCATCCCGAAGCCTGCGAATGTCACCTACTGTGCCAATGTTCGACGGGCTGATAAAGTCGACACCTTCAGGCCATCCTACAAGGTGCACCCCATAGGCTTCGACGATAGCTGTTTCGTAGTTGGTGTAGTTCATAACTATGTCCTTTTTGCCGGTGATTGAGACTGGAGATGATGTTAGATGGGGACAGCGCACACAGACAATGTTGTTGCTCACCCAGGCCCCAATAATCAATTTCCGTACCTGTTTCTGTGCCTCTAAGGAATCACATTCATTGAGATCTATGGGACAATGAACAAGATAAAAAGACAGTGTGAACTAAGACTTACTTTGATTCTGGGTACAAGCCCATTGCTCGTATTGCCTGAGAAAGTCAGCCATGGGGTGCTCGTACACATCCTCCCAAAAATCCTCTGAGTTATCCGTGCCGTGCATGGCACTTTGAGTCGTGTGTTAATGTGACTGCGGACAATGACAATGTTGCATAGATGCCAGTGCGAATTGCAAGTCATCGAGCTTCAAAAAGAGTCAGTTTATTGTAGTCGAGATGAAAGCAAACTCACCTCCTTGACAATCCTCTCTGTCGTGACGAGAACATCCCGTGCAGCTGCCAAATTGTTCGCTCGAATACTGACTACCTTCTTTTCACGATACTCCTCGAGGGCCATGATGTGAGCGGCCTTTTCGTCCTTTGTCAAACTTTTGTTTGAGGGTCATTTGCGACCATGTCGCGAGCTCCGCCAAACTGTATCTAGAGCCTGCAGGTAGATCTAATCAACATAGATAAGTAGCCCAATATCATCAAGAACTAAAAACTCATTCGACTCACCTACGTTCACCTCCATTGCCTTGGCGTGAACAAGGGCATTGATTAATTGACTCTTGCGTGATGTGCGATAGTGTGTCTGACTCCCAATGATATTGTTAATTTGCTTCGGAGTGACGTTGTGAGCCCGTGACAGTGCTTCAATCTTCGTTTTCTGTTGTCCAGATATCCAGCGACGGCATCGTGTAAGCGCTTCATTCTCTCAATCTTTTGGTCCCTCTTGATCTTGCGAGAAGCCTTCTGTGCATCTGTGAGTCGAGGGCGGTGGTGTACGAGGAGGATGATAGGGTGTGTTGGGTTCCGTGCTGCCCAGCTGGATGAATTAGCCTGGCGCAGGGGCTCTGAACTCTCATGACTGAGGGAGTGTGTTTCAGAAGGTTCACCAGGAGGAATATCAGGGGGCGAGTTTGAAGTTGTGACTGGTGGGGTAGCAGGGAGATCGGGGTGCGAGTTTGTGACTAATGAGGGGGTAGGGAGCTGTGGTGTGTTGTTGGTGGCTGTAGTATTGGACGTGAGAGCTGCTATCTCGTCGCTCGTAAGCGGCATGGTGTAGAGTGCTGGGTTGTCCCAATCGATCTCGTTGATCGAGAGAAACTCATCATCGGGATCTTCACTTTCAGTCAGGAGATCTGGGAAGTATCTGGTAGAGGTGGTATTGGTGAAATTGCTGTCACCTTCGCAGTCATTAGCATAGTAGATATAGCTCATGGTAGTCGGTGTGGTGAAGAATTGCTGGTGTGCAGATGTGCCTACAAAATTTGACGGTATGTGTCTATTGGCACGGATGATGCAAACAAACAACACGTCACGCGACATGTGCGTTGCTACAGAGTTATTGCAACATTGATATGAAACCGCTAAGGCCACATGAGGCGGTAGAATGTGATACTGACGAGACGTACCTTTACTGCATGCCTCATGTCCCTGTCTGCTGAATTTTGAGCTGCAACTGCAAACACCACTGGAATATAAAACATAAGCATTGAGCACCGCACCAGAGATCCACTCACAGAGATCGAGTCACTTCCCTCGTCAAGCTGGCGATATATTCGTTGAGGTATATTCGAGCTGATCCGCAGAGCTCAAGCTGGTGATATATTGTCGAGGTATATTCCGAGCTGATCCACGAAATTGACCATATGTTCGTGATTGTGGTCTGATCAGCAAGGTTCGTTGGAGCCTCACAACAATGGGTCATGATGTGCAGAACAACAGCCAGACACCATGGTATCTTTGAGTTGAACCTGGTATGAGTTGCGAGTCAGTTAATCAGTGAGAGCAATATGAATGTAAGCCACTCACAAGATGAGACACGCCATGGCGAAGGCTAAGCTTGGCAGACGTACATAATATTTGGACCAACAACGATTGCCTAATATAGTAATTGAGAATGAGTATTATACTTCCGCACACAACGCACACGGTACCTTGAAACTACGACAGATACTGTCAAACTTGTCGATCATCACCGGTGACCAGACAGCGGTAATCCTGCTGGCACCTGTAATTTTCATGTTGCTAAGGCATATGTTATCGATTATCGATGTCTCGGAGGTTCGTCTTTCGTTCCATCCTTTTGCCAGCATGGTAAGCTCAAACGCCAACATCTGAGTGGTTTTTCTAACACCAAATTCAAGGGTCGTCGGAGCAGATCCTGCAGTCCTTCCTCGAGGCAGCGCATGGCCACACAACGTTGGCTCGCCAAGCCAGGGTAAGTCGACGTACTCAACTCACAGAGAACCTTACTTACCTTCCTTCAGTGTTCGAGACTCTCAAAATGCGAAGGCGTGTGTTCGCACAGCTCGGTGAGCCTATATCCATTCTCAATTTCATTTACTTATGTGAATCCTGGCAGCAATAGAGCAAATCTCAAGTAAGTAAACATTTATCTTTCATTTGAATTCGGTACTAATCGATCAATAGGAAAAAAGGAATCCAGTCTCACGTTGACAGCCCATTCGATGACGAAGGCATGGCTGCCATCGGATCACCCCCATCAGACGGCGAAGATATTGTGGCCATCGGTTCACCCCCATCGCACAACGGTTATGGTCAGTTTAATCATGACGACAGTGTCCTCAGCATGGACAACGATCCATCGGACAGTCATGATCAGTTCGATCATGATGACAGTATCCTCAGCATGGACAACGATCTACCATGCTCTTGTGATGTTCCAACACTGCAAGCACTTGAAATCCTCGTTGGACAATGGCAGAAGGACTGGGGGTCAGAAAGCACCATGTGGAATGAAGTGTTTGATACAGAACTTGCATGCTCTCGCGCAAAGGGAGAATGGGCCACTACTTTATTCTTTGATCAAGTCGCACAACGAGCTATGGATGGGAGGATGCTACTGGAAAGTATTCGGGATGTCGTGCACACACACTGCTCATATTGCAGGGAGCGCCTTAAGTACGATGCCATCCTACTGTACGACTTACTAGTTTTAGTCCTTTCAGAGGTAAAATTCTTCGAAGTCAAACTAGATACAGTACATCACTAGGATTTTTACAATGTAGAAGCCCTTCGAGTACCCAAGTGAATGCAATGGATGAACATAAAACCTACAGATATTGAATGGATAGCGAACGGATAGCAAACGGATAGCGAATTCATAGCGAACTCATAGCGAACATGTGTCTTCGAATCCCCGGCATCCTGAACAACACCATATTATGAATTTTTGAACAAACAGGATGCTTCAATAGCAAGAACCTGACATACAATACATGAGCCGAAGCCGAAACAAAGTGTTATGAGTGTCATTTACGATTACGATGGTGATTCAAGTAGTTGTTATTGCACGAACTCGGATGTCACACTGACGCTGTTCGCTAGTACAGCGATTAAACAATTCATTGTTCAACTACTTAGGCCTTAGGTGCTACACAATACAGACATATTCAACACATTTACGGACTCATGATATCACAGCAGGAGTAAGAGACAAAGTATTTATTCAGTCTACTACGGGTAGCACTCGCAATTCAAACTAAATAATTTAGATCTAGGGGTCAGTGTTGCATGGAGGAATTGTCTGCAAAACGAGATAGGTGTTTCGAGATTATGCAAGAGTGTCCCAAGGCTTACCTTGCATCCGCACTTCGGGAGAATCGTCCAACTTGGACAACATGATTTTGAAGGCTTCGATAGCTGCATCATAATGTTGCGCACCATGCAGCGCTGCATGTGTCAACTGGTATCCAACGTGAGACGAAGGATTGAGTTCGGTCACCTATGCATCGCCAAAGTCAACATAGGCTACAAAAACATAGATGTCATTGCACCTTTTGCGCATTGAGAAGTGCATTCTCCCATAGCATTTTCCCCAACTTTGTGATCAGGTCGAATAGACACTGTAGTACGTACCGATAATCAGTCACGTGAATTGAAAAGCACAAAACCTTACCAACACTAGAGGGCTGTAGATAATGCGAGCACACCAGCGGCGGATTCGGACAAATCTCTCCCTGCGATGTCTTCTTAGATAGATGATCTATAGATAAACACCTATAAAACAAATATCTCCACGGTCAGTGATTCAGACAAATACCAATGACTGATAACGTGGTCGTTCGTGGGTGGCTAGTTGTATACTACCCAAGGTATGTTCAGCTAAGGATACTTCTGCAAGATCATACGATGGTCAATCCAATCTTTGGACTTGACAGGAAAACAAACAAACAATGGTCAGCCCGACAGTATGGCAATGACCAAAAGAATATATGGGTTTCTTCCTCAAGTTCCCTTTCAACAACAGTGCCTTGTACCAACTATACTCCAAAGAAATGGTGCAGAATTACAATGATAAACCCCCTCAGCACAGAACAGGTAGAATCAAAGGTCAAGACTAGTCAAAATGCTTTATTGTAGAACTCTTAGCTCAATATTGAACCTGCTGTCAAGGAACTCTTCTTTGAGTATTCAAACAGACTTAGGAACGGACGTCCTTGGGTTTACTACCAAGTCCCCTCTTCAACGGCTAAAGCCTAGCAGGCACAGAATATCTTGGCTCAGTATCACTACTCAGATGAGTGAGGTCAAGCTTCACTATCAATTCCTAAAGTCTCCCCACTATGCTACTACTGAGTCTTAGGTGGACGTAGAGACAAACGAATATTTTGGATCAGTATTTTTGGACAAAGAACACCAAAGGTCAGTGAAAGTAAAAGAAAAGAAAAAGAATAATAGAAATCAGAATAAAAGTGTGGCTGTACCTTGCTTGCTGGTTGTTGCACACAGTGAGCTCACAGCGGGTCGTTCAGTATGATGAGCTTGCAGTATTACTGTCTCTTGAGAGTGTTCCTCTCAGTCTTGAAACAGTTCTTGACACTGGTACTGACACTTATCACACCTTACTTCACAACTTAGTGTTAGTTGGGCTGAGAAACACCCTACTACCTGCTGGTATCTGCTTTTTTTATTTCAAAAACTGAGGTCATTATATACACATAAATGTGGCTGTGCTACTAGTGTATTCAAGAGTCATCAAGAGTCATAATGAGTCATATGTGCAAGGTGAGTCATAGTGAGTCATAGTAAGTATCTAGAGTGAGTCATAGTGAGTCATATATTCAGAGGGAGTCATAGTGAGTCATTGGGTATTTGCTAAGTCATGTGACCTGTCCAACCCCTGATGACAAATCCAGAAGGAGAGTAAGAAGTGTCACATGATATGAATCCTGTGCGTGGCTGTCTTTGCTTTGCTTTGTTTGAAGGGTGAGAATGACGCGAGCCTAGTATTTAGGGGTTTACTAATGTTTTTCCAGGACAACATATGTGGGAAATATTTTTCACAGTCACCTGACATGTGTGGGATTTTGTCTGGGTCATCACCATGGCTGACTAAGCAAAAATCATCGCAGAATTAAATGTACTAAAATATTCAGGCTGCTGGCATATAAACTTGAAAAAATAAAAAGAAAAGCAAAAAATATTCCCTTAGCCTCAGTCCAACTTCAGATAAAAGGGAAAAGGGTTTCATAGTGGTATTTCAGGGTATTTGACTCATGAGAGAGTATTGGTCGTCCATGCACCGAACCGGTTTGGTGCAGGTCAGCGATCGATTCTGGCATATTGGGTCCTCCAGAGACAAGAACGGGCTGCCCGTCAGGTCTGTGTCGAAGGTGTTCAAGCACCGGGAACTGGTTCAGCAGGCGGCGACTTCCAATGAGCGACGGCAAATACGTCTACAAGGCAAGCCTCAGTACACAAGCCAATTAAACAAGCAAAAAACTAACCTCGTTTATAGCAATGAGCCTTGATGAGCGACGAGCACTGGAAGCTATGAGAGATGTCAGCTGTCCCAATATCGAGGATGATGCGGGATGGCAGGACGATGATTTTGACGATGTCTTGAACGGCACAGAGCCACTGCCCATCAGCCACGCTGGAGGCGAGTTCAGCGACCTTGTCAGAGGTGTTTTAGGAGACTGTTGGAACAAGTGAGCATTATCATTTGAGAGTTAATAACTGACACACACCTTTTTAAACAGAAAGGATCGTGTACGATGCGTCGATAATTGTAGTCGTCATGACCGAATCCTGCACAGGAACCAAGCGTTCGCTGAGCAAATGCCGGCGATGACTGACGCGTATCTTGAATGGAGCCTGGCCAAATATAAGGTAGGCTTCACAGGCTTTTTGACCAACTGCGCTGTGAAGACACACACCTCGAGAACGATACCACCTGTGGACAATGGACAATGAGCGTGGTAGATGTGTTTTGTGAGTGATTGGTTTGATTGGAAGTTATTACATACTAATTAGTGACGGCATGTGTGGGCGCTTCTACAGGCGCTGAGAAAGTGACGCTCCAAATACTGACTACCGACCGCACCATCGCCTCAGCTCTCATTCGTCAAGGCATTTTGCCTTGTTCACCTACATCACCGATGGTGGGGATAACGACGGAAGTCCTCGAGTTTTACCATATCGTACATCTTCGAAGTCCTCACCTTTCCATTCAGGCCTTTGTCAAGTCGCTGTGTGATTTACAGGGGGTAAGTACATTCTTTACTTTATTCTATGTACATGCCTGGCACTGAATTCATCTAGGCCGAATTTCATAGGCACCTATCACGCCAATTCTCCATTGCATTTGACCTGTACCTCCAGGTACGACGTTGCGTGGCGGCAATGGTGGCCAAATCACTTTGCCGTGACTCGCCGGATTGGCGTCTTAAACATGTGTGCCCTGCTTGCACGTATGAGTTAGTGGACGAAGAAGATCTAACATTCAAGCTACTATACGCGATGGATGGCAATGATTCCTTGAAACGAGTGCTCCGACGGTCTTTAGATCATGATGGCGAGTCTCTAGGTCCATCCTCTGAACTTCCTACAGGTCAGCAACTCACCAGTGACCGCTACCTACCCCACACATTTGTCAACCAGTTCGCTTCGGACATATCGGACACCACCGCTGTGGATAATATTATTGTAGAAAACGAGCCTACAGATAACTCCTGCGCCGGGCGATGGAAAAACATGGACGACACCAAGACGAAGAAGGCTTGGGGTATCTATGACGAGACTGGTATATTTGTGGCCGTCTGTCGCCATGGGTTTTCTCTCGTCATCGCAGACATGGTGCAGAGCGGTGAGCTGTAAGTAATGTCTGTTGTATGCTATTTTTTAAATTAATAACTGTCTCAATAGTGTGAAGTATCCTCTGGCTGTCGTGTCAAAATTGATGGACGTGTTCGGGAAACAATTGGGTGGTGGATACGATATAGGTTGTCAGTTCAAGACGACACTTGACAACAGTTCCATTGGACCTCTCGCACGCTCACTGCAACACACTTGTCTCGTTGGTGCCTTCCATGGGCATGCGCACAGGCGATTGTGCCAGCTTTTCTCACTTACTACTTACATCAAAGGTTTAGGACTCGAGGACCTGGAAACGTGCGAACGGACATTTTCTAAATCTAATTCCCTAGCGTCCACACTACGTTATGCAAGTGTATTCCATCGACAACAGGCCATTGACGCCTATTTCGAGCACAACGACAACTTCGAAGTATACACCAATCTTTGTAAGCTGTTCATTGTAAGACGTGATCACGTGCTGACATAATTTTCGTAGCCGATTTTTTATACAGCAACTACAAGCAGGCACTTGCTATCTTGAATGATGGTAATGCGACCCTTCCAACGCTTATACGAGATCTCAAAATCCCGGATGAGACTGTTTTCGAGCAATGGCTGGAGGAAGAGAAGGTATATCTACAAAGTCTGACGCGAGAACCTGAGGACGAAACGTTGCAGATGGAATATTGGCAAAAGTTGACGAGTCTTACTGCGAGCAAGTGAGTTCAGTTTCCGAGGTACGGGCCTTGCACTCGCTGACACAACATTTGCATAGGGAGGCTCTGGACGCTGCAATGTCAGCTTTCCAGGGCTCATCTCACCTGGAGGCTGCCTCGTATGATGTGCAGGCAAAAAACACCCAGAAAGCCGAAACTGCGCGACGGCACACCCTGGAGGATTATGAGAGGCACATTAAAGTCGTTCAAGCACTCGAGTGCAAGCTTGAGGTCGAGAAACGCTGGACTCCCGAAGATCCACAATGGCAGAAAGTTGGAAGACTCGTTGCAAACCAGAAATACCAGCGTGCACTGGATCGCCTCGAAGGATTAATTGTGGCACGCATATTTGAGCTGACGAAGATGAATCGGGCAGGCACAGGTGAGTTTTCGGGATATCTTGTTTGCAACGCTAATTCTAATACTACATAAGGCTATAAACTAAGGAAGCATATAGCTAAAGCACTACAGACTCGTTCTGTCGCTATCCGATCTGCTCTAAACACGTACAACTCCATCGCCAGCTCGATGTACCCCCCACGCCAGACTCTCAAGTGGGAAGATGTTGTGGAGTACGCATTTCTCGCAGACTTCGATCTGCTACATGACACGCGTGCAGACGTGTCTCGACATCCTTGGTCATCACCCGGTGCTCGTAGCGCGATGGACCTATACTTCAAAATGTGTCGGGCACGTGAGGAGATACAACGCTTGAATATCGAGACACGACGCCTAGCGACATATATACAAGATGAGGACATTTATCTGCGGAGGTGCGAAGATCAATTGAAGGATGCAAACCCGGCTCTTGCCCATCAGGTTGTGTTACATCGAAATATTCGAGGACGATTCAACTCACAGCATTTGAACCGGCTCTACAATATATCTAGGCTCAGTGGTTTCAGCGGGATAATAACACCAGGTGCCAGCATTAACACCAGTCTCGGGGACAGCGCCAGCACACCAAACGCGTGGATCCCATCAGCGCTACTTACAGAACACATGCCGTTAGATAAAGGTGCATCCGTAGATTCAGACACCCAAGATGATTTGGATGGCGAGGAAGAGGAAGAGGAAGTAGCAGAGGAAGTATCAAGGAGTCTTCAAGATGTCCTACGCATTGCTGATGATTTCTCGCAGCTTGAACTTCATGGCAATACTGACGATGAGAGTTAGTATAGTCCGAGTCTAGTTTACATATGCTATTGTACTGATACACGTACGTGATACTTACTTGAATGCCATGCGTCGAAACGCGCCTTCAATACGTTCACATCATCATGAGATACGTGAGCTCATCGTACGACACAGCGAGCACGAACATTCGGATATTATTAGCCGGTGCCGGGAACACGTCACAGCATTGCCGACATGCCGGTGGTAGTACAGTGCTACCTACGTCCTAGCAGTATAAAGTTCCTCTTTATTCAAACAATATAGAAGGAGGCTCTGACACGCTGATTTTGCCTCGTCTTACAGGTGCGAACCCTATGTGTTATCGCCTATTATTACTGTCCTTATGCGGGAGTCACAGGTGCCTCTGCATATTTCTTACATACGCTCGTCCTAGTTGCCATATTCTCCAAGGCACCGCGATGGTCAGGGCTTTCTTCATGGCCGCAAATAATCTGTCAAGCATCCTGTGGACATCCTCTAACGGTAAGTGTTATAACCTTAGATCCCCGCAATGTTCGAAAAAAAGCACGAGTTACCTTCCCATGGGTCTCTGATCGGGTTGGTTTTGTCGACGAGGGCTGCTGGCAGTAATAAGCATAAAAGCACTCACGTAAGGACAGAAAACAGCTACATCTATATTACGACGCCTCGCTTTTCTCCTGAGCTACAACATAGAAGATAGGCGTTCGCTTCGGATCAGCATGATACAACATATATTTATACAGCGATTCCGAACTTCAACTTGACCTTAGACCTAATTCTGACTCGGCCGAAAACGAGCGAACTCCTCATGTTGAAAAGGAATCAAATCTGCAGGACGATTGACCCCTTTGGACATTGGACTAGTGAATGGGCGAGTAGAGCGTCTCACATTCTTCAGAGAAGCATGTCCGTATAACATTAAGCACGTGTATGAAATGTACTGGATAAATTTGTGGGATAAAGTCATACTGAGCTCCTCCAAGCGAGACAGTCCTCGCCAACTGGCGTGCAAATCGACCTGTCACTATACACAGAAATTAGAGTGCGAGGCATCGATGATTGTCTTTAATGAGAACAGAAAAACGCTGAAATACAACAAAAGGAGGATATCAATATGAATGTGATCGTGCATGTTGTAACACAATCAGTGACCGGCGTCGTTGGACGGAGACGCACAGCAAAGGAACAACACAACACGAGCCCACCATTTGGAGGTGTCGACGCGTTTTGCTTTGTCGCCAGCTCGTTCCGGCCGTCGAGAAACATACAATGCCTGCATATAAAACTTGAGACGCCAGCTATTGATAACACATCCCCTAAACGACATACCTTCTTGTCATCTAGTGCAGGGACGTCGACAACAGGAGGACTGCGACGAGAGGAGGTACCAGGTCCCCGTGGACGTTGCTGAGGTTCGTTTGGTTCATCGGTGTTGGGTGGGGAACGGTGGAAGAGTGAGGGAATGCCAGCGAGAAGCGCACGTGGATGTGATCCCCAGGATAGTGCAAAAGCATTACGGAGGCGATGCAGAGGTGGATCAGGGTGTGTAGTGGAGGACTGAAAATATGAAAATCAGAATAACGTGTGCAGGTAAATGGTGGTAACTCACGGGACCGCTGTATTGTACATCATCAAAAAAGCCTTGTGGCACTCGACGTGGGGCTGGACGGATAGGCGGACGTCGCGTAGCATTGGCCTGGAATGTTGACATCAGGATCGATATCAAGGTCAGGAAAAGACACAGGGTACATCTGATAGCTTGTGCGTGTGGGATATTAGCGTGTTTCATTCTTGAAAAGTCACAAGATGATACATACATTGTTTTTGAGTTCTGATTTTTGTGCCTGATAGCCATCGGGAATGAGATAGCGAGTGGGAGTCAAGTTGGCACTCACATCAGGTATGGACAGGAGATCTTCTAGGCCAGCTGTTCTGAGGATGGCTTGAATGTCCCATACATACACATCTTCATCATTCCAACCTGCAGTGGATAGCAGCTTTCTGTCAGTGGAGAAGGCCGCACAAGTGACGTAATTTTTGTGTTGAAGAGGTGGCCCGATTTGGAGGTTTGTGTCAAGGTTCCAGAGACGTGCTGTATTATCCCAAGATGTACTCGCAAGGAGGCGGTTGTTGGGAAATAAAGTGAGGGAGTAGACCACAGATGTGTGACCCTTCAGAACAGCGATCTCCTGCCATGTGGCAGTGTCGAATATTCTAATCAAGTCGTCAAACCCAAACCCAAACCCGGCGATAAGCTTCTTTTCATCCGATGTCCAGGTCAAGCTCCAAACTGTTTGATCGAGTTTGATCGTGGACAGCAGCTCGCCCGTCTTCGCGTCCCAGATTTTCATTCCTGCATCGTATCCTCCTGTGGCAATCATTGATGCCTCGGGTGAGTATATCACCGCGCACACCGACCTGTGTCCTGTCTTGATTGGATTCAGACCCTCGACAGGTTTGCTGCTCTCCACATCCCACACTCTTGCCGTCCCGTCGTTTGATCCGCTCACAACTCGCCCACCATTTGGACTCCAACACACTGACTGCACAAAAGCAGTGTGTCCTTTCCATTTGACGACGACCTTCCTCGTCTCGATATCCCACAACCTTACTGTCCCGTCCTGGCTTCCGCTGGCAATAGTCTTGCCATTCGGGGACAATACCATGGTCCTTATTCCTGCCTCATCCCCTTGATCTCGCCATTCGCCCCCTATTTGTACACCGCTCTTTAGGTCCCATAGTCGAAGTGACCTGTCGTGGGAACATGTGATGATGCGCTGTCCACCGGGAAGGTGTGCAACGCCTGTAACTGGCTTAGTATGGCCTCGGATCGTCTTGCAGGGGGTTACTGCTGACGCCTTTTTCATTTTAGCGGCAGTAGAAGACATGATGGACGCTCGGGGATCTCGATCAAGGGAATCGTGGACTATATGCGTGAGAGCAGATCGTTGCCTCAGAATGAGTTGTCCTGTGGGTGTATAAATAGTGGGTGGTTTCACTGCCCTATGTGCTTTCGCCTGACTTTGGCATGTCAATAGAAATGTCCAGAGGGATTGCTCACGAGAGGTTCTACCCAGGCGAGTTCTGTCCTGGCTCACAGACAGCTTCGGGACGACGTATCCAGGAGATACCCCTCGATACTGGCCGGTGAGTGGTCGTATCTTTTCCTCACTTCAGCTTTTCCTACTCCCAACCACAGTATCACTCACGGCAAAATCCCACTTGGGACAGATTCACTCCGCGCAAGAACGAGAGGGGCGGGCTGGTAGCTGAGATGGTGGATGTTTGCTTTTGGGGTCGAGAGGGCTGCGCAAGTGTTGGTATATGTTGCCTACCAAGGCATGTATTCGTTATCCGCGTGTTCTCTCCACAGCTTCACAGTGCTGTGCACACCAAGCGCCACGTGCATCTCCGTATCTTTATTTGGCCTTTCAAATGGTCCGATCCATTTCCGCTTTCTCCAAGTACTATTCTGAGAGCATGTCTATGTTCGACCTTACTCGAAGGATGGTGTCGTACGCTTCGCAATATCAGAGGACATCGACTGGTGGTAGCTCTACTGAAGAGGTGCCGTTCGATCACTTAGACGTCACTGAGTTTGTCCTTCGGGATTGCACAGGTTTTATCGCTCCATCACATAACGAGGAGTATCAGAATCTTCAGGCAAGTCACAGATGCCAATAGCGTCGTGTCTTATCTCTGCTTGCCCCATGCTCAATCTTTACCAGATGCGAATCCTTTTTCCTACCGTGAAAGGGGGGGTTGGCTCTGTCGGAGTGGTGAAAGATATAAATTTTCATATGAATCATTATTGTTGACCGTTTCAAAGAAAATACAACGCTTTCAGAGTCGGCCAACCAGAAGTGAAAGATGACTGGAAGATCGTCATGATACTTTTTCTGATTTGCGAATATTTATGGTCTTTTCGTCAAAAGGGTGGTTCACCCCATGGCTATTGCGGCACATCTTCGCAGACGCTCTAACTATCTCTGCACCAGCCACATTTAACAGGATACCCTCGAGCAGTTCGTATGCAATTATGCTGGAAGTTTCGGGTGATGTTTTTTTTTTTTTTTTTTTTTAAATCAAATTTATTGTCCATTGGGGTCGAAGACCCTATGTTGGACATAACCCTATTCGAGTGCGGGGGGTTTACTCCCGACTGGTCTAATCGTAGTTGTATGTATACTTTCGCGTGATGGGAGCTAACGCGTACTCTGTCGGCGTAGTGTCGGGCAAAGGCCGATGCCGATTTTGTACGAGGGGAATGGCAGTGGTGTGAGGCATAGGTAAGGTGGGAGTGTGGGATATGGGGTATTTGGGTGTTGAGTGCGGGGTATTGTCCATTTTTTATGTTTGTTTCGTTGTTGTTTCATTGTCGTCTTCGTTACTTTCATCCTTCTCATCCTTCCTTCTGTCCTCTTTTCCTACAGCGACCTTCGTCCGGCGAATGTCCTTCCCTTCGTTACTTCATGAGGTGGTGGTTGTACATGTGTATGATACAGGTGTTTTCGTTGAGTGTCGTGGCGTGGTTTTGTATGTGGATTTTGAGTGTGTGGTATCTGTTTGGGTACGTGTGCGTGAGTTGTTACTTGTTAGCTAGTCGTGATCTCACCGAACGTGGTCTTGAAGCGTCCTGAACTGTTTATGAATCTCATGAGAGGCGTGGTGGCGTTATCTGACGTAAGGATGTATTCGATAGAGGATGCTTTGCGTCTGAGGGCGTTGGAGAAAATGTGCCGTTCACGGGTGTACTGCGGACAATCAAAAAGGTAGTGGAATATCGTTTCATCCATTCCTGGGCATATGGGGCAGTGCGGGGAGTCGGCTTTTCCAATACGAAAGAGATGATGGTTCAAAGGAATGTGGCGTGTTCGAAGCTGGGTGTAGATACTGGTTTGGCGTCTGGGGAGGGATGATACAAGTTTGAGGTAGCGGTTCGACGGCATGCTGGGGTCAATGATCTTTGCTCTTGTGTAGTGGGGTGAGTTTTTCCATTCTTCGCTCCATCGTTTGTTCAGGGCGTCTTGATGCCATTGTTTCAGCGCCGACACGCTATCCGGTAGCGTTTTATCTTGGAGGTATACCGGGAGTCTATTCCTCGCGCTGCTTGCTCC